TTTAACATTTTCTTTTATATAAGAATAATACTCATTGCAGCTTCAGGCATATAGTTGCGAGACCATGAACTGCTAGCAAAACTCCAATTTTTTCTTTTTAAATTCATAATTTATTTGTTTAATTTTTTTCAAACTCGTAATAAAAAATAAGATCAAATTAATTTTCGGTTGACAACAAAACCCCAAATTAATAATGTAAGTTAAGCTTATATTATTATTTTTTGTTAGATAAATTTGATAAAGCTAAAGTAAAGAATGCATTTAAAAAATTTTTTATTCGAGAGAATGAGATTCGAACTCTGCCCGTCGAACATAAGCACCAAGTTTTTTTTTTTTTTTTTTTAATTCTTTTAAAAGTAAGAAACTACTAGGCTTTTTGTTGCTATAAAATCCAATTTGTCTTAAGAAGGCCCAGCCCAAGTATTTTATTACCAAACACAAACTTTCTCTAATTTTACCGATGGCAAAAATCCATCCCTGCCAAGCTCAAGAACGCAAATCTGAAAGCACCTGAACAAGGTCATGATCCAGATCACGCTCTAACCTCCGGAGCCATGACCATGCATAACAGAACACAAACGAAGTATTAAAAAACAAAAAAAAGAATCCTCGAAACTCCGAACTTCATTAACACACTAATGTATCTCCTGTTCCTACCACTGTCGTTTCATTCGTTCTACATGGTAGCTTAGCAAAATAATAACAGAAAAGAAACTTGATGGAGCTCAACACGATCATGCCACACACCATCTGACGCATGAAAAGCAACATGTGAGATTATTTTACTATTTGTATCCATCATGTAATGACAATAATTAGTCTGAGCTACATAAAATTTATTCAGAATCTATTTTCCAAAATTTCCACCTGCAACCTCAAAAAAATTCCAATTAGTCGATGATACATCAACCTTCTCTAGGTAACAACCAATATACTTCTTCCTCTACTAAACCACAGGAACTGATGAGCGTGAAGAATGATACATAATGCTGGTGGTAATTAATGCTGCCCCAGGGCTTCTTGTTCTTGGTAGACTGCGAGAAAGTAAACAAAATGTTTATGTAAGCCATGATGAATTAGATAGCATAGAGAAAAGTATTCACAATAACATGGTACTTGGTCTTACAAACATGTTAAACAGGAATAGAAAAAGTACTCAAGAGGCAGCCAGGTTTCACAGTTAGGGGTCAAGACTCACTCAGACTGAAACCAGAATTACATATACCTGAGCATCCATATCGGCACTCAAAAGTTCCATATGCCGAATGCATTTTTTATCGTTAACCTTGTTAAGAGACAAGCAATTTAGGAACGATATCATTTCTTTCATGCAAGGTTTTGTGAGAGAGCCAAATTTCTTTGGGTTGATATAAAGTCCACCAGCTTTCTTGCCCATTCTTTATGATTTAACCTGCATTCACCGAACGGAGACAATACAATGTTACATCCACTTCCTTATAGTTCAATTCTACATCAGAAGAAACGGGTTAACAGGAAAGTTGCAAAAGAAGATATATGACAGCAAAAATTGACAATTCGTTAACAGCAGGAGAAGCATGCGAGCAATGATGCATATATACATAGATAACAGATTCACAAAGCTTCCGATACTAACAACAAATTCATATACATATACATATACATATAATTTGTCTCCGGAAAATGTGGTTAGTCTTGTTTCTTTCTCTTGTTTTGTATAGTAGCTGAAGATGAGGAGTGTTGATGGAATCACTGGGTTATTAGACTAGTATTATCCACTTTCCCGTAGCATGGCACAGTCAGAAATAATTACTCCATTAAATTAGTATTAAGAGCAAAGCAAAGGCAATTTTAATCTAGAACAAGGTGCAGACATGGTGAATCTTAAGAACAATTTGACTAAGGTATCAACTATATGACTCAAAGTGTATTCCTTTTTTACATGAAATTTTCTTTTATTTTTGCTTCTCAACATCTCTAAATCATTCTCCGGTTTACAAAACTGAATTTTCCTCAGGAATGCTTCTAAATAATCAATCAACCAATGCAAAAGCATTATTGCATAAATCAAAGAAGCAGCAAAAACAAAATACCCATCTAGCATCATATTACCCAATTCATTTGGAAAACCAAATTTTCAATTAAAGCAAAGATCAAAACAATCAGACAACTACCATCAAAATAATTTCTAGAAATGAACTTTGTTTTTGAAATAAAAGAAAGGGTTGGGCCACCTGTTGGAGTCCATCTAATAGCCCAATACAGGAACCACATAGGCCTGTAATGAGCCGATTATAATCTAATGAACCACCAATTTTTTTTTATATAGATTAAACTAATTTTATTTTAATTTAATTGGATTAAGACTTGGATTCGTATTAATTTGACATTAAGTTTTTATAATTTTATCCTTTGTCAAATATGAAATATGCATTATTATTGGAAAATACGAGAATTAGCAACTCATTCAAAGTGATTAGTTCGAGTTTAACTGATTGATTAACACAAAGCATACTTAAGATTTACTTGCATCCTTTAATACAATAAGAGATTTGGTCATCTTTTTAATTGTTTAGTGTTAATAAACATACATCAATAATGTCATTAAAAAACACTTATCTGAACAACTTTGGGTTGAGAAAAAACTTGGGAGAATCCAAGAAGAAACTGTTTTATGTAATTAGTTTCACTTCATGATCATGAAAATCATGAAAATCATGCAAATTAAAAGCAAGTATAAAAAGGAGAAAGTGAGGCTGTGAGGTTAACGAAAAGAAATTGAATTTTTTGGAGCTGTAGTCAATCAAGTTGGAAGTCAGTGTGGATGATGGAATGATGATGATTGTTAGGGGTATTTTTGGTCCAAAAGATATTTTGATAATTTATTTTATTATAGATTGTTAGCAAATAATTAAAAATATTTTAAACTTTTAAATTGATCGATATATCAAATTAATTTGATATATTCAATATCTTGTCAACTCTATTATGTTATTATTATATCTTACAGATCTCTCATTTATTATATGTAAATAAAGACGTTAGGATATTATCATTCTATTCACATTCTATTCATATATTCATACTTTCTTTTCCTTCCAACCTTTTTTATTAATAATTTGGGATTTGAATATCGAAATGGAAATATAAAAAACACCCCTTCCTTTCCCTTTAAATGCAGTGCACCAACAATGATGATACCTGTACAAATGTACAATTTGCATGCCCAACCCATCCTTCAATCAGCCAAAGAAGTTTGTTCAGAGTAAATCACGGATCACCCTTTATTCAATCTCAACCATGTTTCGACAGGCATTTATACTCATGATTGAATATGCCCAAACATCGCCTGTTGTAAAATGCCAGCACTTTTTCTTTTGTAGGCAATCTACGAAGCTTGTAGCCCCACCTTTTCTCTCTAATTTTAAGCGAAACTACTTTCAACACTGGATAGGTAGGCTGGTCAAGATCAATCCTGAATTAATTATTCCTGCTCGGATCGAGCAAATAACAATGGAATAACAATTTTTTTTAGCCAGGTTCCACAATAAGCTGGCCCTACATTTTACAAATGTTAATCAACCTGAAAAGAAAAGTGGTGCTGATTTGCTGAAATGGGCAAATCCAGTATGCAAAAATCCTGAAGAACGAGAAAAGAAAAGTACAAAGGAGCATATTTCCCCAAAAAAAACCTGTCATCAACCTACAAGTCATTCAGGGTTTTAATGGAATGAAACCAACAAAAAATTGACCTGCAACTCTTGGACCACTTTTCCATGTCTGGGTCTCTCACATGAAACTCTCTGTTTGGTCTCAACCTAACGTTTGAATTCCTTAAATCTGTCCCCATTACCTGCCTCAACGCAAAGGTTCGTGTCTTTTCTTTATCCCTTTAAAAAATTCTGTACGTTGGAGCAGAAATTTGATCGCTTTTAGCAGAGATATCGTTTGTAAGGATTCAAATTTTGAAAAAAAAAAAAATGGAGACATGAAGGTGGGGGCAAACTTTCGGCCCAATCGCGTGATAACAATGAGATTTCTTGCTGTTTAGGTAAAAGCTCACAACTCGAACTGCCTATCAACTTTGGCACATTTTGTTGACATTAAACCTCCCCTGAAGGCAATATTAAATGACTACTTTTGAAACTCAACCCCCATATTTTTCTTCTTCCTTTCGGCTTGGAAGGCGGCCTTAACATATACATAAACTCAACTTAATTCGATTAAATCTTTGCAAGAACATAACTTAAGGACATGTTCTCTCCATTTTTGCTCAATTTAAGACTATAACTTTTTTTCTGGGAAACAAGATTATATAGCCGTGGAAGAAGTGATGAGAGGAAATATATGAAAATGAAAACATATTTTTGCTTTGACAACAATGGTGGGACAGCTTTAGTATTATCATTATCATGTGTGCTTTGCTAACTTTTGATTGACAAAAAGACAACAAAAGGCGGATTTTCTCCAACAATTGTAATCAGGCAGGGAAAAAGGAGGAAAAGTTTCTGCACAAATTTCAATTGTTTGAAATGGGAAAAAAATGAATTAGCTGTACACCATTTCGACATTATTTGCTCGTGAACACGTCTTGACAATGCCTAGAAACTTTAATCATGCTCACTTCTTTCATTGCTAGCTGATGTATAATACACTTTGTACACCACAACTGGAAAAATAACTTAAATTTAAAGATTAAAAAAAAGGAAAAATGAGAACTGGGAGCACATGAAAGAATGCTGGTTTAAGTGAGGCTCAGGGGACATGGAGGACGGGCAGAAACCAAAATGCCCCCACTAGGTCCCCCACTTTGAACTAACCAACATCTTAAACATTAACATGTAGAATTTGTCAGTTTGCTTTAATTCTAGATGCCTTGCCTCGCCTAACAAAACGTTGCAGATTGGTCATGGCTATCTTACCAAAACGAGCCTACCATCCCCCAAAAAGATTCCCCCTCAAGAACCTCCCCCCCCTCCCCAAGAAAAAGAAAGAAAAAAGTTTTTTTTTTTTTTCTGGAAATGTTTTTAAATTAGTAGTACACAAGTAACCATCTAGAGAAATTAATTGGCAGATGAAAAGAATAAATTAAAATATAATAAAAAGAGAAACTCATCTAACAGGAATCTAATGGACATCTTCTTTCTTGTCTAGTGGTCTGAATGTTGTAGGAGAAGAAGCCAATGGCAGTACCTGAGAAGAACTTGAAGGGAACTGTGGTAAATATTGGAGAGGTTCTCTGTTCTTACCAACAATGAATTTAAGGAAAGACCCCTCTGTCTCTTGTGTTAAAATTGTTGTACTATTAACATCTTTAACACCAGAATCTTGAAGGGAACCACCATTTCTCTGTACCCTTTTCTCAGCTTCTAGCATCAATCTTCTCAAAAGTTTCTCTTCTGCATCCTTTAAGAACTTGAATTTTGGAGGAGGTGAAGATCGCAGCTTATTTAACTCAGCATCTGTCGATGATTCAAAGAGGGGATTGAATCCTTGGCGGTGAAAAGATTCTAAGGGGTTCAAAGGAGGTGACTTCAAGGGTGGAGAAGCCAAAGGACTAAGAAAAGGAGTGTCAACGGTTAGTATAAGATCACTCAAGCTCCTTGTTCTTGATCCTTTTCTGCTCTTATCACCTCTAGACCAGCCATCTTCTGACTCCAAATCTTCCTTTGTTTCCTCCTTGATTGTGAACAGAAATCTTGGTGGACCTGCCAGATTGTGTAGTCTCATGAGCTCTGATTCCACACCCTCTTCTCCAAAACCCTTTGGCAGCAAATCTTTGCTTGAGCCAACTTCCAGGTCTGGCTCAACACCATTGGTAACTTGGTCTTTAACAAAATTTTGGTTGTTCGTGGTGGAGGTGGCTACATGCAAAACATCAGATTTCTTCCGGCAGAAATGTTGAATAAGCTCCTTTGCGTAGCTGCTGTAATCATTCTCAACTTCTGAGCTAGCAATTCTCTTCTTCTTCCACCAAAGTAAATAGTAAAGCTCAGCAACAAGAGCCAATAGAAGACAACCAAAAACCAAACTTAAACTAAGGCCTAATCCACTGAAAGATGCCATCTTTGCTTGGAAATTCACATCTCCTGAATATATCTAATCTTGTTGTAGCAAATTTCACAAGATTCCTTTTCTCTCAGCTCTGTACCAAAGGAAAAAAAAGTTGTAAGAAAAAAGGAAAAAAAAAAAGACCTTTAAATCATGCCAGAACTTCCATGTGAGTTCCACAAACCAAACCAAAAGTCCATTTTCTAAAGGAAACAACAATGGAATATTGAAGTAGCTATAGAAAACAAAGAACACAAAAGACCCCAGATAACCTTCACTTTTGCTGCAAGTCACAAGCTAAGATTCGTTGTGGTAAAGCATTAGGGGGCATGTAATTTGCCTAGTACACACGCCAGGAGGAATCTGAGGAAATGCTGAGGAAATTTCACTAGAAATTAAAAAACAAAAACTTACCTTATAAGTCCAAAAACAGTGTAGATAGACTACATATAGCATGGAAACAAAAAACCTTAGCTTGGAATAAAAAATGAAAGGTATTTTCTGGAAGTTGAAAACTGAAACAGATGGAATTATTAAAACAAAGAGTGTTGAGAGAGGAAAGAAAGACAGAGAGGGAAAGAGACCAAACTATATGATTGCGGGTATATGGGCAAATCTTTGTACAATAAACAATAGTGATAAAAGCGTGGAAATGATAGAGTAATAATTCGTATACTCATATACAGATAATTTGTATATTTATATAATATTTTATATAAAAATTAATATATTATAAATCGGTATTTATAAATTATATAAACTTAAATTTATTAAATTCATATATAATTATTTTTAATTTTTTAAATTATATCAATTTCTTATTTTTTTAAAAATTTTTAATCATGTCACTTTGTCTTTAGATGGATAGTCTAGGAAATGACAATGGCTAGAGAGAGCAGCTCACATGGGCAGGTAAGGGTTTTGAAAAGAAAATTACAGAAAAAATGAAAATATTGCATCACCCCATGCGCTAGCCCCCACATAACCTTAACCAGGACAATGCAAAAGGATACACCCGTCAACCATGAAAATCCAGCTGTGGGTTTTGATGGAATATATGTGAACTAAGGTGATTATCATATTAGATTATTATGTGATCAACCTTTTGTTAAAAGCCTTATTAGCTTTATTTCCATGTTATTGGTCTTTTATGTCAACATTTCCTTTGTTTTGACACAAAAATTATCAAATACGTTTAATACTTGAATTAAGATTTCATTTCAAGTCCAACTAATCAAACGTGTGAAACTTGACTTTCTTGGTCTTGACTTTCTTGGTTTAAGGTGAGAAATGGATTCAAATCCAATCATACTATAGCATGTGCCTGGTTAACCTCATAAAACTATACGATATTGTAATATGACCAACTATTGCATAGGCACTTGTCAATTATCTTTTGGATCGATTGTCACTTAAAAGTTATGAGTTAAAAATTTATATGCGTAATATTTTTTTCAATCAGATAAATAATAAGATAAAAAAATTTAAAGATAAATTAAAAATTTCAAAAGAAAAATTATTGTAGAAGCTTTTTGTTTGTGTTAAATTTCTAAGTAAAATCTTGAAATTATAAAAAGAGAAAAAGAGTAATTAAAGATAAAAACAGAAAATATACCCTTCGTTTACACTAAATAATTAAAAAAAAGTATAAGAAAACAATATAATTAAATAATATCTAAATGATCTTATTTATAAATTAAATGTGATTAATCCATAGGTTACGTAATACTATATATATTAGATCGATCTAAAAATAAAAAATATAAATATCTATTGATAATCTTTAACGAAAAAATATTATTTTACCTTTTAAATCTAAAAATACTCCTAACACTCTCATTGTGTTGCTATAGCTTCCAAGTTCTAACTTTTGACTTTCACAATATTGAAAGCCGTAAAAAAAGGATTTCTGGTTTTATTTCACATTGAATCTCAACATTTCAGTCTTTGAAAAAGAAACAACATTCAATTGCAGGAACCGACTATTAAATTGGATTGTGTATAAAATGTCCCACATATACGTGAGATTTTCTTTGAGCAATGAAAAGGTTAGGCACAAGTACTTTCAACTGTCCCACTGCATACTCAAATCTATCCAAAATAAAATTGTTTATAAAACAAACTGGTTAAGGAAAAATATAAAACCATAAATTCAAATCACCAAAACATATGATAGTGGCTTTCTACGTCGAGAAGTTTGGTTGTGTGTTATTTATATGAGATTTTATGTTAATTTAAATCAATCGATTTTAAATTAATGACGTATTTTATTTTTGAATAAAAAAATAAAATGTGTTTGCTTCGCAAATTGCAAGCAATGGGCCTAAGTAAATGGGGTCCATGCCTCTTATTGCATAAGCTTTTTACATATGTGTAATTTATATGAGATTTTCTGTTATTTTAAATTATATATTTTTTAAAAAATTATAATAAAAAATGCTGAATTTTGAAAATAAAGCTAGGAAGTAATAGAAAATAAAATGTACCAGTTTCACATTTACGACATTTTGTCTAAAAAATGGTAAAGCTAGCTTTAATATCGTATGAAAAAAATTTCCTTTAATTTCTCGGTTTTTGCCTTTTTCCCATTTTCTCTTGATGGGCACAGAACCCAGTTGAGGGAGGAATGAACCGGGCCGCGATTTTTGCCGAAGTGAAATCATAAAATGGCCCATGTGCGTGGCTCGGAGATTGTAGTGCAGAAGGGACCCATTTGGACATAGAAACTGAAGGATCAATGAGACCTAAAAAAGGTCTAATCATAACCGCTGATAATTTGGCTCGGCATCGAAGAATGCAAGACAAAAAAAAAAGGAAAAAATTAAAAATTAATTTAAAATTATAAGGTTTAATTCGATTTAAATCAATTTTTTATTTGATTTGAATTAAATTTATATATCAAATGTATATTATATTCTAATTGAATCGAATTATATGTTTTTATTAATTTTTATAAAATAAAAATAAATATTTATATATAAATTTATTTAAATATATTAAAAATATACTAAAATAATAATAAAATAAAAAATTTTAAATTTAAATTTAAAATTAAAAAATAAAAGTAACAAATTGAACCAAATTAATAAATTTTGATTCAAATTAATTTATATGAAAATTTAATTTAAATAAATATTAAATTTTAAAAATTTATAATTCTATATACTTAAAAAAAAAATCCAATTCAATTCAAACAATTATCACTCTTAAAAAGTGTTTTCACTGTTTTGGGGCAAATACAACAAAAGTGCAAGACTAACAATGCCCCCGGATTTGGTACATTGAAGTATGGCATATAAATATATATATATATATATATATATACATATGCCAAGACCTACTTCAAAAATGTCTTAAATTCTTCCATTGAAGTAACTTGTAAGAAATATTGAGTACTACCACATTCCCCTTGAACAAGGTAAAATGACAGATGGCGTTTACTTCTCAATTCCCGTTATTAATTTATTAGTTGGGAAGTTTGATAATATGGGTTGTTAATCTAAAGGATAGATTCCCGAACAATTCATGCCATATATCACAAATCAAAATTTTGTCTTAGACAACAACAATACGTCATGTCACAGATCACAAACAATCTAAACACCCAAACATGGTTTCATTTACTTTCATTCAACCTCCATCCATATCCATGTTTGGTCGTATTTTACAACGCTTGCATTCAAAATACACACCAGGTTAAACAAAGCTTGTGTCTTTTGCTGCCAAATTATACTGACAAAGAGATAAGAAGAAATGATATATATATATATATATATATAGAGAGAGAGAGAGAGAGAGCAATATGCATTGAATTCCAAGCCATGAAAAAAAGGAGAGAATAGGGCGGAGGTGGTGGTGGTTGGTGGAGGTTGAGTTGCGCGAGTCGGCAGGCGGCAGCTAGCAGCGCATGAAAACAGAACATGCAAAAACAGCTAGCAACGCTGTACTCTTCATTTTAAGCACTCACCAATAAGGCTTCGTGGGTTATAATTACTAATTAATTAGCCTTCAAAGTTTTCAAACTTTAAAATGCATTATTTCTTTAATTACGTATTAATTGTCACTTAAATTTTATTAGCTGTTTCTTTATCTGTATCTCCACCCCCTCCCTAAGTTACGAGAGAACAATTAATTCCAAATGCCATTTTTTAGAAAAATTTAAATTTATTTATTTAATTCATACTTTGAAAATTTTTTAAGCTCGTAATTTTTTAAAATTTGATCGACATACAAAATATTTGAATTAATAATTGGCGATATTAGTTATCTTCTAATTTGTGTAGAATGGAATGTGTGATGTTGAAGATCCATGAACAACTGATAAATCAAGCCAATAGCTACTCCACCATGAAACATTTTTTGTTTGTTGCTTTGAGCAAAATCCAGAGCTGAGGAAATCATTCATTGAAAACTATTCAGATCATTCAAATAACTACAAATCATTCCCATATACAAAATGCTTCAACTTTTTGTATTGATAAAGGTTTTTAAAAGGAAAAAGGCTCAACAATAGTTACAAAGCATGCATAACAAAGGCATACAGCAGGCAAAGCAAAGGCAGAGCACAGTCACCTAAACCTAGACGATTCAACTTCGTCTGCATGAACTCATCTGCTCAGCTCTTACTTCAATTCCCAAAGCCTAGCCCTTACCAACACCTTACAACCCAACGGGCTGAATTTTTCCTTTCTTTGACCTTTTTACCCTTTTTTTTTTCTTCGTGGGCGTATCCTGCGTTTTCCCTTCTTCTTATCGTCAGTTATCTTTCATTTCCGTAAAGCAACAACTGGTTAAACAGTAACATTATAAACCAAAGCAATGATCTTGGGGCAATTTCGTCTTTAAAACTCGTCTTCGTTTTCTAACGAAGAAGACGAAAAAACAAAGCCAAGCCTCCCTTCAGACGCTAACCGCCATGTTTTTAGAGATTTTCAGCACAAAAAACAATACGCATGTCAATCTCTCTCCCATCTCTTCTTGTTTGACTCTTTCTTTTCTCTACACAAAAGAGTAAAAAAACCATGCAAATTCCATACCTATTGCCAAACGATCTTTTTTCTCTCCATCTTTCAAGTCATTTTGTCTTGTTTCCTTCATCAAACTTAAAACCCTAGAAGAATACCAATTTATCTGTTTCTCTGTGTCTTTCCAGGACTTGTTCTCTTCTTTTCCAATAATCTTGATCCCCATAATCAATCAAGCAATCGAAAAAAAAATAAAAAGAAAAGAAAGAATGGAAGGTGGTAATATGGACATGGCTGGTTCTGGTGGAACCACGGGGAATTCAAGGTGGAACCCAACAAAGGAGCAAATAAGCCTGCTTGAAAGTTTGTATAGGCAAGGGATGAGGACGCCAAGCGCAGATCAGATACAGCAGATAACAAGTAGGCTTAAGGTTTATGGTACCATTGAAGGGAAAAACGTGTTTTACTGGTTTCAAAATCAAAAGGCAAGGCAAAGGCAGAAACAGAAGCAAGAGAATATTGCTTATTTCAATCGTTATCTTCATAGGACTCAACCTGTTTATCCTCCTCCTCCTGGCCCTAATGGTTCTTTTCGAAATCCCTTTTTTGGCATATTTTATTTGATTCATTCTTTGAAGTGTTAAATTTTTTTAAAGATCTAAACAAACTTTTTGTTTCCCCTGCTTCGTTTGCGTTTCGTTATTTGTTTTTCTACATTATTTTATTCTAGATATAGTTTCTTTCCAGGCTGTCTCTACATGCAGATGGGCTCGATATGTGTGTTACAGGCTAAATCTAAAGTGTCTATTTCTATCGCAATTTGTTAATTATACTATACTATTCTACTCCATAAAAACGGTTTCCTTTCCCTTCCCTCCTCATTCCAAACAGTAAATTTTTTGTTTATTCAAAGGATTTGACAAGTGGTAACCATACTTCTTATAATAGAGACAGATGGGCAAAACACAAGTGCTGGAAATGCCATCCAATTTTTCACATTTTTACCCTGCCTTCTCTGTTTTATCCAGGCGTATTCATTTCCGCTGTTGTTGTACTATGAAACATCTAATGTTGGATTGCTTTTTCTGTTTGTAGTTGTTTGTGGTCCATATTTTCTACCACAACGTGATCTAGGGTTTTACCCTCAGTGCCCCAAGGTTCTTCTCCCTGGTGGAGTTAAGAGGAGAGAAAGGCTTGAGAAAACGGAGACGGCGAGGTTTTATGGTGGAGCTGCATATGATCTGGTTCACCAGGATTACAACAACATAATTCCAGATAATATTGAAAACTATGAAGGAGTCCTCAACAATGGCAGCTGCAACAATAGTAATCAAGAGACCTTGACTCTTTTCCCCTTGCACCCAACTGGAGCTTCAGAAGGAAGGGCAACATTAATAATGTCTTCACTTGGTTCAACTACTTCTGCTGGAAATTCCACTACTACTCCCGCTAGCTCTCATAAGACTACCTCTGGTATCGACCAAGAAGGCTCTGGAGGTGAACAACAACACTTCTTTGATTTCTTCTCCTGCCATGGTTCTTGTGAAAGTGCTTTAAAAGAATCCATTTTTTAGGGTGGTATAAAATTCTGATGGCTTTTTGTTCATCTTATTCATTCGGTCTTATGCTCTTGGCCTCTTCATTTTCTTAGACTTGGATCATTGTTAAAAATTAAGCTTGATAAGAGTAAGTAATTAGTCGGTTTAGTTTGAAAAATTAATAATCGAATTAGTGGATTTTTATTTAATAAATAGTTGAATCAATCAAAAAATTTTAAATAATAGATCATTTGATTTGGTTGATTTAGTTAAATAATTAAATTTTTTATATTTTTTTTATTATGAATAATTATTTGATCATAAATTTAATTTAATAAAACTTAAATTTAAATATTATTAAAACTAAATCATTAAAAAATTTAATAATTTTAATAATATTTTATTTAAAAAAATAAATAAAAATATTATTTTTTATTTTTATTTATTAAAAAATTAATTAATTCAATCGATTTAATTATTAATTTTAAAAATAAAAGATTGATCAAATTAATTAATTTAATCAATATAAAAAACTAATTATAACTAAAAAAAAATTAAATGAATCAAATCAACTAAATCCACTTAATTTCAATCAATTTAATCGATTCAACTGACATTTTACTCAATCCTACCCATCCCTGTCTGCTACATGAACATTTAAACCAACACAGTGCAATACTATTCACCTTGATAGTCGGGAAAGGTCATTTGGTCCTATCTCCCAATAACCAAGCCACATTTGAGACTTGAGCCGGTCCATGGTGCTAACATTTCATTATATCTAAACCAATAATGTTAGCATGAAGTGACCGTTGCCACCATTAATTCAGACTATGTAGCTTACTATGCGGACTGGGTGGGGACCCGCTTAGTCAAATGGATAAGCTTCAAGATCCACAGTTCCACACCCAACATTGGCTAGGCTAGCCATTAAATGAATTGGGCTTCTAACTCCACCGAACCACCCCTATGTAAAGTGCTACCGCAACCGAGATCTGGCTCCTGCCTTCCTGAAAGGGCCACAACCCATGACCGAAACGAAATAAAAATTTTAGTTTCTTCTCAACGGATCTTCCTTCCCTCACCGTTTCATTTTTATTTCCTTGAAAATAAAAAGCCGTGATAAGATTAAATTAGATTCGATTTAATTTTTTAAATATTATATAATATTATAAAATTTTAAAATTCGGTTTGAATTTAAATTAAAATTTTATATGTTGAATTAAATTTTATTGATTAAATTTGATTTATTGATTTCTAAATTTTAAATTTTAAATTTTTATATATTATTTTAATATAAAAATATTATTTTTATTCTATAAAAATTTATAATTATATAAAAATTAAAATATATATAATTAATTTTTTTTATTTTTTACTCCTGTATTCAAAATTCAATCCAAACTTCAAACTTATTATGGACGTCTAATATCTAAATTTAATTTAAATCAAATAAAAAAATCCAATTCAAATTAAATTAAATATTATAATTTTAAATTAATTTTTTATTTTCTCAAATTTTTTTCAACCCTAATCATTGTCGCTTTACGTAATGCAAATTAAACGGTATTTTAACGGTAGCCGTTATCTTTGTTTTCCTCTTCGATTCCTCTCTCTGGCCCTCGGCTCCTTGCTTGCCAGAGATGAAAATTGTCTAATAAGATCTCTCTTATGGGGATTCTAAGGCAAGATTCAAATGGTAAATCCTTCACTTTGTCTTCTTTTTATCTACCGGCTTTTCTTTGTTTTTCCTGCTTCAGATTAAAACTGCTATTTTTTATTCTTCATAGGATTCTCTCTAGGTAAGGCAATAAAAAAGTGAAAATTTTTTTTATGATATTTGTCAATGAAATTTCATTACTTTCTAATTCAGAAGTGAAATATGGTTGGGTTTCTTTCATTTGGTAATATTATTAGCTTTGGGTTTGATTTGGTTAGAGTCTAAGCTGTTGTTTTGGACTAAAACAAGAAAACTCTTTTATTGGATAAGGGAAGCAAAAAGTGATTTTTTTACGATATTCATCAACGAGTTGAAGTGAAGGATTATTTTGTTGGCTTAATGAGCTTGCGTTGATTTCCTGAGATTGAAAGTTGTTGTTTGGACTAAAAGGGAATACTCTTATAGTGGAGAAGGTCTTAGAAAAAATGGGAGAAGATTTGCTCACAAACTTGTCTATTGAAAATCACCACCCATCAACAGTTTTATCTATGGATTCAATTTCAGTCTCTCATGAGGAATTGGATAGAGAGATGACCCGGCCAATTGCACTTTCTAGACCACCTGATATTAATCTTATTCCTCTATCTGCTGAACCTAGTCCTCCACAGTCATGGAATTCTGATCCATTAGATATGTTAGATGTTGGTATTGGAACCCAAATTAATGAAGCTGATACTTTGGTTACTGTGTCCAAAAGCGGGCGTAAATGTGCCAAGAGATTGGATAGTTTTTGGGGTGCTTGTTTTTTCTTTAGTTATTATTTTAGGCCTGTGTTTAATGAGAAATCGAAAGTCAAGGTGACAATGGATGGAAGTGGAGTTTCAGGGTTTGATAAGTCGGATCTTGAGCGAGAGGTGTTTTTGGTTCAGCATGATAGGGAGAATATGTATATGTGGGTTTTTAAGGAGAGACCTGAGAATGCATTGGGTAAGATGCAGTTGAGGAGTTACATGAACGGGCATTAACAACAAGGGGAGCGGCCTTTTCCATTTAGTGCTGATAAGGGGTTCGTTCGATCACATAGAATGCAGCGAAAGCATTATAGGGGTCTTTCTAATCCCCAGTGTGTGCATGGAACCGAGATTGTTCCATCACCCAATCTCAAGGGTCTTAATGAACAAGAGCAAAACAGGTGGATGGAACTCACTGGAAGGGACCTAAATTTCTCAGTCCCACCTGAAGCAAGTAAATTTTGTACCTGGAGGAACCTTACTAACACAGAATTTGAGCTTGATAAACCCCTTCCTCCTTTGAAAACTAATCCACAGCCTCATCCAAAGAAGCTGCTTATTGAATCTGGTTTAAATTTGTCAACTCGGCATTATGGATCTTTCCCTCGTCAGCAACAAAAGGAAGAAGGATTTGTTTCTAAATGGCAATGATGAAGACTGTTGTTTGCTCATTAATCAGCATAATGATAGGGTCAGTGATACAGAGATGAACCCCAATTGAACCATCTTGGTTGAATGAGTTTAGTGGAGTAATGAGAAATATTTATGGGCCGGTTACTGCTGCAAAAACTATTTATGAGGATGAACAAGGATATCTAATTATCGTCAGCTTGCCTTTTGCTGATCTTAAAAGGGTAAAAGTTACTTGTTGGAATAATCTGAGGCATGGTGTTGTAAAGATATCATCGATAAGCACCGCTTCCATGCCTTTTATTAAGAGAAACGATAGAACATTCAAGCTTGCAGATCCATGTCCTGAGCATTGTCCGCATGGAGAGTCTATAAGGGAAATACCTTTACCAACAAGGATCCCTGATGATGTTAAGCTAGAAGCATATGGTGATGAAACAGGAACTGTTCTTGAAATCATAGTGCCAAAGTACCGAATGGGTTCAGCAGAACACGAGGCTCGCATCTGCCTTCGTCCTCACCTTGGACCAAGTAAGCTATTGTTGTCATGACTTTTAATTGAGGGTTTCACTGGAGAAATACACAGATAGGTGTTGTGGTCAATTTTCCATTATTTTGTATCACTGATCTTAAGGAAAATATTTTAATGAAATAAATTTATAACTTTTGTTATCTAGCGTCAAAAAGCAAGGATCTGGGACAACTTTCAAGCTCTTATCATACGTGGACGGTGCATAGTAATCGGTAAGTTGCATATTTCTTTAAGACATTGGGCATAATATTGTATCTGGAAGGGGCTTTAGATTCTTTTTAATTTTTTTTATAATATTTTTATTTTGCCTGCACATATTCTCCTTGCACTACATTTCTTTTTCCCTCCACGTGCACAGCGGACCCTCGAGTCTCAAGATTCTGTCTGGCTATCTAAAAAATATGCAGAAAGAAAATAAAACAAATTGCTTTGCTTTAACCAATAAGAAAATGCAGTGAAAATGAAAACCAAAGAGCAGCAATAAACAATCAAGCTGGAACAGGTCGCTTACATATATAGTTTTTTTAACAACGGTGACTAGTCCGCCACGGGGAAGAGAACTATTCTATTACACACAAAAACTACTTTAAAAGAAAGGTAAAAGGTAAAACAACAAATCCATCACTCATAACACGAGACCTCTAAAAGCCATCTCCAGCTTAATCCACTTCCTCGATCTTGGGCCCAGCACCGCTGCCACTGCCGGTAGAGGGACCATCTTCATCCATAGCTCCAGCACCCATACCACCACCAGCTCCCTGGTACATCTTGGCAATAATCGGGTTGCAAATGCTTTCTAGCTCCTTCATCTTGTCCTCAAATTCATCTGCTTCAGCCAGCTGGTTTGCGTCAAGCCATTGGATAGCTTGCTCAATTGCATCCTCGATCTTCTTCTTATCAGCAGCTGGAAGCTTGGAGCTGATCTTCTCATCCTTGATTGTGTTCCTCATGTTATAAGCATAATTTTCAAGAGAATTCTTGGCCTCAACTTTCTTCTTGTGTTCCTCATCCTCTGACTTGTACTTCTCCGCTTCTTCCACCATCTTCTCAATCTCTTCTTTGGATAGCCTACCCTTGTCATTAGTAATGGTAATCTTGTTCTTCTGTCCAGTGGTCTTATCCTCAGCGGAGACATTCAAAATACCATTGGCATCAATGTCAAAGCAGACATTGATCTGAGGAACACCACGAGGAGCTGGAGGAATACCAGACAGTTCAAATTTCCCAAGCAGATTGTTATCTCTGGTTCTTGTTCTCTCACCCTCGTAAACTTGTATCAAAACCCCAGGTTGGTTATCCGAGTAAGTTGAGAAAACTTGTTCCTTTTTGGTTGGGATGGTGGTATTCCTTGGTATCAACACGGTCATGACCCCACCAGCAGTTTCCAACCCATTGGAAAGTGGGGTGACATCCAAAAGCAGCAAATCTTGAACCTTGTCATTACCCTCACCACTCAAAATTGCAGCTTGAACAGCAGCACCATAGGCAACAGCTTCATCAGGGTTAATGCTCTTGCAAAGCTCTTTCCCATTGAAAAAGTCTTGCAACAATTGTTGAACTTTTGGAATCCTAGTAGACC